AGCTCTCCAGATGACTGGTGAATCATCTATTAAGTAATTTTATTTTTTGTACAAAAATATATTACATAGAGAACATAATTTTCAAAATTGCTGTTCTCAAAAAAATTTTTATAGAGAATATCTTAAATTTTTAAATGTTCTCAAATTTAAAGCAATGTCTCATGAGAACATGAGAACATAAGATTTCCAACACTGTTTACAGCTAATGAGTTTGAGATTGATAATGAGTTAGATGAACTGTCAAAAAGTGAAAATACACAAATATTAGAAATTTATATTGAACTAATATTTGAAATCTGGGATCATATTAAAAAATGGTTTGATGCATTTGCTCTTCAAGAAGGCTTTAGCTATAGAACTAGAAGAAGTGAATCAGATAAGGCATTATTAGATGACTTACATTTGAATGTTCTAAATCTGGCAAATATATTGCACAAGTTACCATAGATCTCACGAAATAACATGACAATTCATCGCAAAGAATCAAATGCCAATGGAGAGTTAATTTAATATTTCCTAAAACTAGTAGCATTATTAAAGTTACTTCTTTTGATAATGCTCATAATCACACTATAAATTCTATAATCAGGCAAATGGCATCTAAATTTCGTAAATTTACTCCTGAAATACTTGATGATATTAAAAAGTACACCATTATAGCTCGGATAAACTCTTCTTCTATATATTCTTTACTTAATTACAATTATTCTGAATATATAATAAATAAGCGAGATTTATACAATACTGTATCTAAGTTTTGGCAGAAGAATAATTTTGGAGATTCAGATGCATCACAGATATTACAATTGTTACTACAATAGAAAGATGAAGATCTATAATGGGTTGTTAAACCTCATATTGACAATATTTCAAGGCGTTTAATATTAATTATGTGGATGTCACCTTTACAGTTAGACTTATATTCATGGTATTCTGATGTGATTATTATGGATACTACCTCTAACACTAATCGTTTTCAGTTAATCTTGTATACTATAATTGTTGTCGATAGTAACTATAAGTCATATATAGTAGCTACAGCACTGCTTGAGGATGAAACTTAGGAATTATTTAATTGGGTTTTAGATACTTTGTATCAAAAAACTGGAATATCTCCAAAATCTATTTTTACTGATTCGGACCCTGCACTTATAGGAGCTATTAAATATGTATTTTCAGAGGCTAATCATTTTTTATGTATATTCCATGTTGATCTAAATTTACGGAAAAAGTTAAAAAATAAATTGGAACAGCAGTTTGAAGGTTTTTACAACCAATTTTACAAATATTAGAATAGCCTTTCTTAAAGATTATTCAAAATTCGATGGTCATTGTTAATTAAAAAATATTTTAATATTGAAAAATATATTTTCGAATTTTTATACAACTATAAAGAGTCATGGGTGACAGCATAGATTAGTAAATACTTTACCATGGGAATACAAAGTACCCAACGTATAGAATTGATTAATAATCTTATTCATAATAGGGTAGATTGTATAACATTATTGACTGATTTGTTACATGAAATTAACAATTTGAGTAACAATAAAGAAGCATTCAAAAAATTTGAAATTCAAAGGAATGCTATACCATAAGTTGGTTTATCTATGGTTTCTGTATAATTTTTTAGTAAAGTGGATGAGGTAATTAAGGTCCATCTTCATCTAATCATTCTTGGAAAACAACAAAATCAAATAAATGAATCATTGTGCTATGATATTTATCTTATTACACAATGGCAAGAAATAATATTAGAACAAGAGCATAATGATACTGATGATAAGCTCGATATAGATATAGAGAAATGGAGTATAATGCATTACAGATTCTTTTTAGTTTTTTAGTAGAAAATATTTCTAATAAACAAATAGTTCAAGTTTGGCAAGTTAAACAGACTAGAATCATAGAAATTGGCAATTATATCATATTATTCAATAATGGTTCACATCTTTGCACATGTGTGATGTTGATTAACAAGAGTATTGTGTGCCATCATTTTTTCTATGTAGAGATCTACTCAAGTTTGACAATATTTTATATTAGTTTTATTTCTTCACGTTGGTTCATAAATCCAAACATTCTAGAGAATAATCTTACGTCAATTCAAATTTCACATTCTATTGACAATATGATTGGCTTACTAATGCAACAAGTCACATTAAATCATCTATTGTCAACTTGAAACAATAAAGCTTCTAATAATACTTCAGGATGGCCTAAAGCATTGTATGCACAATTGTCTGGACTTTCTAAACAAGTAATTGATCTAGCAATTACAAGTAATATGTGTGAAGAACTTGAGGTGCTTTTAAAAGGATTTATCACATCAAGGATGGAATCATCTGAACATGAAATTTCTAGAAACACAAAAGTAAATAACCCAATAGTTACAAGGTATAAAGGAAGACCCCAAAAGATATAAGTCAAGTATTGAAATTACACAATCTAAAGTTCTAGGTAAATGAGTTAATGTAATTAAAAATAACGAAAACAATTAAGAAACTATGAATATGCACAGTTGAAAATGTAACAAATGCAAACAAATAGGTTACTATGCTAAGAAATGTTCCAATTAAATGCACAAGCTTTTTCTTTATCTTGCATGTGATTTTTCCTTACTTAATATTTAATATTTGTTTGATATTTAAAATTTGATTTTCTTCAAGTACAAAATTATGTTTTAAAATTTTTAAATGCATATATGCTTTTTTTTCTTCTTTTCGCATATGATTTTTCATTGTATTACATAGCTATGTAGGATTGATATTTGTAATTTGTTTATTATACATAGAAAAATTTCATGATTGGTTCTGTACTTTAATTAGGACTAGATAGAAATTCATAAGATTTAATTATCACAAATTTGCAAATTAAAATATTTGATATTACTACTAGATAGAAAAATAATATATATAATGTGGAGTTTGGCTTTGATAATTGAAAATAATACTATGTTCAAATAATTATACAAAACTAATAATAGCAAGAACTTAAAAGCAGAGGTATGATGATTTTGAGACTTTTTAATCTCATCTTTCTTTAGTATAAACAGGTTTATTTACTAAACACAATTTTAATATACTTAATGTTCTGATAGATCTCTTATCAAGCTAAGATTTTAAAACTGATATCCGCAATTTCAAGTCTGAAGTTGACTCTAAAATTTCTAGCACCAATGTCATGTAAGATTGTATTTTAGTCAGGTGCAATTTCAGATGCAGAAATTGCAACTCCAAGTACACTAATAAAATGACAGGCAACTTACAACGTCAAAAAATATCAGTAGGTATGTATGTATGTAAATACATATTTATTTGATATTGTTGTATCACTAAAAATTTAAATGCTAACACTAATTTTAGTTATGTATGTGTTAATTGATTTGGATATTATTTATGTTTGTATTGGGGAGCTTGTATAGCAAGATGTAAATATAAGATTTAC